ATTCTGATGACCAACTTTCCAACCTTCTTAATCTGCCATCACCCTACTCATCCTGTCTTATTTCCCATTATTCATCAACATTTATTTGCTTTAGAAAGAAAGGATTCACTGTCTCCACTTATATATATTCAAATCTAGATGCCTGAGGAATAGCCTACTATAGAAGAAATTAAAAGTTTAATTCTCTCCCTTCCCTCAAAGTATGATGGATTGAACTTGCAAAGGTAAATGACACATGGACACTTTCCTCCACTCATGAAGTCCAAGAATTTAACAGATGAGAGAGATGTAAATGATACTATCATAAAATCAGTGCCATAACCAAGGTAGCAAAAGGTGCTATGGGTACAGAAATGGCTCCTAACTCTGAGTCAGGAAATGCTTCATAATCTGCCCTACACAACCATATTCATATCTACCTTTATCTTCTGCCCACCTTTTCATTATGTTTCTTCCCCCCACCAAACTTTTTAACTTCTTCCCCTTTGTTAAATCTAAACCAATCCAAATTTCAAGAATCAGTAGAAATTTTGACTTTCCCAAGATGCATTTTCATCTCTTTTTTTCTAAACTACTAGTATTCTTAGTACTTTAGTTTGTATATTTTTATTTCAGACACACTGATTTTTCTTCCATGGCTACATAATAATTCCCTTGAATACTTGGCAGATTCTTAAAATCTCAATGATCCACTGAATAGTATCATTCAACTGAAATTTTAGGATATAATGAAATTGTGATTGAAGATAATCCTATATTCTAAGTCCAGCACTATTATATTCTCTGATCTCCAACTGTATTTACAGGCAACTTCAAAAATTTTACCAATTTCACAAATCATACATTGCCAAGCTCATCAGTTCAAGTGTTAGTTCCAATACAATTCTAACAATCTGGATTTTAATATAGGCTTTACCCACTGCAGAGATCAACAATGAATAAGCATTCTAACATAACTTAAACATCTTAAAAATTCTCCCTAACATGCCTAAGAACACTTTACCCAATAATTGAATTAACTTGGGTTTTTCTACCTGTTTTAACCAGAGCTTCTAACAGTATTTGGGCCTAACCCTCCCACCTTTAATTTCTGTTCCTATAAAATGCAAACTCAAGTCTAACAGGCTTCAACCTCTTACTGTCTTAGCATGAGGAAAAAGTAATACATGAACTAGCAACTGGTTCTTAAAAGGGAAGGAAGTGAAATTTGAAATTATATTTTAAGCTTCATTTAGTTCTAGAACGATTAAGAACTTTCTGCACTTGTAAAAAGTAAAAACATACATTGAAAATTTTATACCCAATTTGCTCTTAGACAACACTCCCATGTATCCAAGATCTTAAAGAACAGAGCCATCATGAACTCTTCCCGAAAAAAAAAAAAAAAAAAGCCTTAAAATATAGCCAACTAAATAGTCAATATTAGAAGAAAGTAAAAGGATTGGTGGTGGGGAACTGAATCAATTTAAATACATAACTAAGAGTAAGAGCCTTTGGGAGTTCAGATTATTGAAGAGAATGTTAATGATAAAAGGCTTAACAATATAAAACTTTTTTTTTTAAACAAAAAAGTTGTTGGCAAAACCAGAAGAACAGTACATTTTGGCTTTTTACAGTGGCAGCAGTTTAAAGGAGTGACAGAGAATTAGTTTGGCTTCAGACTTTTCCACAACACCAGTGGAACAGAGTAGAGAGCCCAGATACGGACCCTCAACTCTATGGTCAGTTAATCTTCGATAAAATAGGAAAAAATATACAGTGGAAAAAAGACAGTCTCTTCAATAAATGGTGCTGGGAAAACTGGGCAGCTATATGTAGAAGAATGAAACTCGACCATTCTCTTACACCGTACACAAAGATAAACTCAAAATGGATAAAAGACCTCAACGTGAGACAGGAATCCATCAGAATCCTAGAGGAGAACATAGGCAGTAATCTCTTCGATATCAGCCACAGCAACTTCTTTTAAGATATGTCTCCAAAGGCAAAGGAAACAAAAGCGAAAATAAACTTTTGGGACTTCATCAAAATCAAAAGCTTCTGCACAGCAAAGGAAACAGTCAAGAAAACAAAGAGGCAACCCACGGAGTGGGAGAAGATATTTGCAAATGACAGTACAGACAAAAGATTGACATCCAGGATCTATAAAGCACTCCTCAAACTCAACACACACAAAACAGATGTCATATCAAAAAATGGGCAGAAGATATGAACAGACACTTCTCCAATGAAGACATACAAATGGTTATCAGACACATGAAAAAATGTTCATCATCACTAGCCATCAGGGAGATTCAAATTAAAACCACATTGAGATATCACCTCACACCAGTTAGAATGACCAAAATTAGCAAGACAGGAAACAACATGTGTTGGAGGGGATGTGGAGAAAGGGGAACACTCTTACACTGTTGGTGGGAATGCAAGTTGGTGCAGCCTCTTTGGAGAACAGTGTGGAGATTCCTCAAGAAATTAAAAATAGAACTCCCCTATGACCCTGCAATTGCATTACTGGGTATTTACCCCAAAGATACAGATGTAGTGAAAAGAAGGGCCATCTGTACCCCAATGTTTATAGCAGCAATGGCCACGGTCACCAAACTGTGGAAAGAACCAAGATGCCCTTCAATGGACGAATGGATAAGGAAGATGTGGTCCATATACACTATGCAGTATTATGCCTCCATCAGAAAGGATGAATACCCAACTTTTGTATCAACATGGATGGGACTGGAAGAGATTATGCTGAGTGAAATAAGTCAAGCAGAGAGAGTCAATTATCATATGGGTTCACTTATTTGTGGAACATAACAAATAGCATGGAGGACATGGGGAGTTAGGAGAAGGGAGTTGGGGGAAATTGGAAGGGGAGGTGAACAATGAGAGACTATGGACTCTGAAAAACAATCGGAAGGGTTTGAAGAGGTGGGGGGGGTGGGAGGTTGGGGGAACCAGGTGGTGGGTATTAGAGAGGGCATGGATTGCATGGAACACTGGGTGTGGTACAAAAACAATGAATACTGTTATGCTGAAAATAAATTTTAAAAAATGATTTAAAAAAAAGAGTTAATAAAAGTAAACGTTTTTACTAAAAAATGGCATGCTACAATTTTTCTAAAATTATATTTACCTATATGCCTAAATAAATACAAATTGTTGGCAATTAATTTGTTATTTGGGGTGGTAGTTTTAGGATTCCCCCTTTTATACTTTTACTGTAACAAACATGTATCACTTTTTCAAAAATGAGCCATTATACTAAAAACAAACAAACAAAAAAACAGCAAACTTCCTGCCCAATTCACAGTTTTCTCTTTCTAACTTTGGTGGTAGGTCTTTATCAACATCCTACTAGCTAACCGAGAAGTCTTCTCTTAAATAGAAGATTTGTTCTAATTTCCCTTTGAATTCCTCAAAGGAAGCATGGTATAACAAGAGTTGAAATCACGTTCAAAAACTACCTTCTATTGAACCCTTACTCCTCACCCAGTGCCATGCTAAAACCAAAATCCATTCTTTGATTTAACCTGTGAGGCAAGTATCTTCCCTTTTTACAGATATGGTAAAATAATTTGCCTAAAAGGTCTCTTAGCTGCTAGGTGGCAAGGAGATTAAAAATTATAAGGAGTACAAAGGTCAAGTTCTTGACCACTAATTTTTTTTTCTTAAGCCCTTAATTCTACAGTAAGACAGACCTAAATTAAATCCAGATTATGTTAGTAGCAGTGTGACCCTGGACAAGTGACAACTTGTCATCTTTACTTTTTCCATCTTCAAAATGGGCAGATTATCAACCCTATCTCATTACATCACTAAAAATAAATAATAAACCTCTTAGACCTCCATTTAGCAGATAGAAAGTATTCTATTTGATGATAAGTAACAAGTTCTTAAAACACTAAGAACATCAAGAAGAATATGATATCACAAAAGTAACCAAATAAAATTTATAAATACCAGAGAGACTTAAGTCATGTAGCAGTGAATCTTAGCAGAAAATGTTTTCATGTTTCCTTTTGAGTCTGTTCACAAAACATTCTTTTATTCAAGTATTGTAACATATAAATCAGAGTTTAAAGAATCATAAAAGCTTAGTAAAATGTGACATAATATAAAATTTGGACCAACCAGAATGGATCAAATTCCTGAGCACAAAGGTTACCACTTGGTTCCATTTCTAAGTTGCCTCAGGCAAACTTGCCCTCTTTGGGGGCTAAATCATCATTTAGAACCACCACCTTAAAGAGCAAAACCCTGAGAAAATGCTACTTTCCTCTGAAAACTGGTTTAACTTTTGATTCTACTCTCAAGTCCTAAATACATCAAATAAACTTTCTAAGGCTTCTACGTTCCTTAAAAAATTAATTTTTTATCTAAGAAGGAAGTCACAGAAGATGGGTTAAAATATAAGCTTCTTAATAAGTAACTTGTCAGAAATAAAAGTATATCTGGGGCGCCTGGGTGGCTCAGTGGGTTAAAGCCTCTGCCTTCAGCTCAGGTCATGATCCCAGGATCCTGGGATCGAGCCCCACATTGGGCTCTCTGCTCAGCAGGGAGCCTGCTTCTGCTTCTCTCTCTCTCTGCCTGCCTCTCTGCCTACTTGTGATCTCTGTCAAATAAATAAATAAAATCTTAAAAAAAAAAAAAAGTGTATCTCTATATTTGTTGTAATAATAGGAAAACAAATACATTTTTGAAAGAAGCAATGTTAGTAGTTTTAAAAGCCACTTTACAAACCATCTTTTTAAATTCTGAACAGCTAATCTGCCCCATTATAATTTCTAAGATGTGTGTAATTGTTTCATTTTCACTAATTTTAGCATAATGACATGTCCAGGTCTCAGCAGTAATGTGCTGTATTACATTTAGTAAATAAATGGGTTTAAAAAAATAATGGAGCTTCAGTGATCACTGAATAAATTAGTGATACTTAAGAGCAGAAAATGCTTTTGAAAACCCCAACAATAATCTGCACCAAAAGCATACTTGAACATGCATACCTCAAGTCATCGCTTGGTTCTTTTTTTTCTGGAAGTACCATGTGCTTAGAGTCTGTTGACTGGTGCTCTTCAGCAACATTGGGTTCCTGGTTTATCATAGGGAACTCTGAAGTAAATGAGAGCTCCCCTTCACTGGAGACCCCAAAGAGGTCTGGGTCATCTTGAATGACATCAATTAAGAGGACATCATCTTCATATGCTTTAAGAATATCTGGAAACCCCATTTTAATTTCTGAAAAGTTCTTAGTCATTTCTCTACCACTAACTTCAGAGAAAACTGGTTTGAATGTTTCTTGTTCATTAGAGCAGAAAGCAGGACTTTTCTCTATACACCCAAGATCACAAGAAAAAGTATTTCTTTCAACTGTGAGAGAAACAGCTTCCTTGTTTGAAATAATATTGCCTGGTTCAGAGATGTGGTTGGATGGTTTATTACCATTACCTTGCTTTAAAAAACCTGAAGAAATACTACAGGAATGCTTGCAGCTGCATGAGTCAGAATTAGCTTGCACTGGAGTTACACTATTTTGTATTCTCAAAGACTGAGGTCCTGAAGTTACTGTAGAAATATTTTCTTTATTCCTATTTTGTCTTACCTCGGCTCCAGATAAATTGTCAAGAAGTTCTAAGGGACTATATGCTTCTCTTTCTGATGACCTTGCATTTATTTCTTTCCTTTTTTCTGTTTTATTCTTAAGTAATGGAATTTTAAAATTAGTCAGCCGGCCTGTGTTCAGTATTTTCACCAAGTCTGGAACCACAAGGGTTTGCTTAGCAATGCATGCTTTTCGATGAACAGTTTTGCCTATAGAGTTATTTGCTTCCTGGACATCCTGGGAAGCCACTGTCAAATTAAATTTTGTTAAATTCCCTCTATCTTTTTTTTTATTTCCTGTTAAGTTTTGAGGCACATTAGTTAGCTGAGTATCTTCAGTAGTATTAGAAACTACCTCTGAACCACTTCTGCTTGGTTCCTCTGACTGTATCATTTTATCATCAATTATGGGTTCCTTTATAATCATTAAAGTAGGTTCTATTGAGGAGACTGAAGACAAACAATTTAAATTAGAATCCAATTTTTCTTTACTTGAAGATTCACTGTTTGTTTCTGTTATGGTACTTTGTAATGCTACTTTAGAATCAGTTAAGTGAGTTTGATTTGTTTGGTGTTTAAGAAAATCATCTTGCTTAAAACTTTCCCGAGACCCAGGAAGACAGTTATTTGAATCTGGCAAGGAAGACTTTTTCCAACACTGGGCAGATATTCTAGCACAGGAATAACAAGGCCAAGTTCTTTTACCAGTCATCGGTATTGCTCTGTGACAGCCTAACTTCAATTCTTCAGCTTCATTTCTCAAGTCTTCCCATGAAGATCTCTTTTCCAAATTACAGCAATCACTAGGTAATTTCACTATTGAGCTTTGCATCAACTTAATATACTCTTCTGGCTCCATGCTTTTAAATCCTAAGTGCTCTGAAGCATTTTTTATTTCTTCTTCCAAAAGTGGCTCAAGGGTTTTCTGAAACATAGCATTTACATGATGTCCAGGACTTGTTTTTTTCCCTGCTGTTTCTGGAAGACTTAATAAATGATCCACTGGGGAGAGTGTATTGTGGTTTATGTTTCTCAAAACTTTTAAAGGACTTTTTTTAGCCTCTAAAGTCTCTGCTCCTTTATCCTCAGCACCTGTTTGGTTTTCTTGTAATACCAACTCAGACTTGCTATACATATTAGAGAAGTTCATCTCAATAATCATTTCATCTCCTTTTTCAGACACCTTCATCCTTTTCCTGGGTTTTCTCCCAACATTGCTCTCCTCTATTGAGTATTTATTGTTTTCATTCTGAAGGCAGGAAAACAAGCCATTACTTTTACTTTGGTATAAATCAGTTTTTTCAAGCAATAACTTATTTACTCCCATTAAGTTTTCTTCAGTTTGTAAAAGCTGAGGAGCATTATTTGTGTCACTCTTATCTGCAAGACTCCTAAAGTTTTCTTTCTTTAACTTTCAGGAATTTTCTGGTACATGCATACGTCCACCATCACGTTTATATGAAAGGCTATTTTCATCATTACAACCCTTGGAATAGGGGAAACAACTGCAATCATGTAATTTTAAAATGGAATTACTTTCTACTCAGGTGACAAGCTGTTACAAGAATATTTTGGAGTATTCTTGTACAGTTCATCTTGGAATTCAACCTTAATATTTTGTGTAGCCTTATTTTCAGTTATTTTGAGAGGGCTTTTTTAAGGGCTTTCTAAGCCCTTAAGTTTTTAAATTCGAATTCTTCTTTTAATACCTTCTACCAAACCTTCCTTACCCAAAGACCACAAGAAAGCCATACTTTGAAATTCACTGCAATCCACTGTTTGGAAAGATTCCAAATTGGTTAATGATTCCTTTCTTACCAGGTCAGTCCCTGGCTGTGGATCATCACTTGAGGCTTCAGTAACTTTTCTTTTTTCCTTGGCTGATCAAAACAACAAAACATACCAGAAAAGATTTTATATTGAGGAGGAAAAAGCAATACCACTTAAAATTTAAAAATTGTGAAGCCATCCACTTTTATTTCCCTGAATAGCTGTATGGGAACACACAAATGCTTTTAAATGAAAGACCTAATTTCTGTTAAGGAACTACATACAAATCTGCATAAATTTCAAGGCAGCTGAATAACCTCTAGCATCAGTATCACTTCACACTACCCAAAATGGATCACTAGTAGGAATTCCTCTTACCGTAATTCTGACCAAGGGCTCCTAACAGGGCAAACACCTTCTAAGAGAATTCCTGTTCTTCCCCCTCTCCTGGTCAACCACGTGCATTGGTAAAGCCCACACAAACTCAAGTTAAACACTAGTGTGAAACAATGATGGGGCAGGCTGAGGTGCAAATGCAAAAATGGGAGCAATCCCTGAGCGCTTTCTTGCTGTCTTCCCAAATGCAAGGGGAGCTCCGCCTCCTTCACTGCTTCTAATCCCTGAGGATCCGAGGGGTCCGAAGGGCTCCCCTGGCCCCCAGACCCTCCTCTCAGCCGCCTCACAGCAGCCTTCCCAGTCCCGGACGCCTCACCCGACTTGTCACTTTCCACCTCTTCTCTCCCAGACGCCCGGGCCACCATTCTCCTCTTTTGCCTGCTCTCCTCGCGTTCCCAGACCTCAGGGCCGCAGCCTCCCGCTTCGCCTGGCCCTGGCCGCCGGCCTTGCTTCCTCGGGCCTCGCGCGTCGCCTTCACGCCTGTGGGCTGCCGTGGGCCCTGAGGGCAGCGGCCGCCGCATCCGCCCTGGGCCGCCCGCCCTGCCCACCGATGCCCTCCGATGCACTCCAAGGCCGGCCGCACCCGCTTACAGGCGCCCACCCGCCGCGCGAAAGCTGCTTCCGCTGCCAAGACCCCAGCCTTGGCCCAGCTCCGCGCCGCCTGCCGTCTGGCTCGGGGCCGGAAGCGGAAGTGGGGTCTGTGCGCTGCAGACCTAGGCAGGCTGGGCGGGGCCCAACGGGCGGAAGGGCCCGAGCCGGTGCAAGCCCTGATTGCCGGCTTCACTGCTTGCGACCGTGGCCCGTGGCGCCTTTCTAGGCCAGAGCCTCCTGGAAACTTTCAGGGCTCTTTGTCTCACCTGCTGTCCCTTCCGCTTGGCAGCTGGCAGAGACGACTGCCGGCCAGTGGCTTCTAACCATCCCAAACCACGTGGGGTCCCTTTCTATCAGCCTTCTTGATTTATTTACCCACATATCCTGTAGGCACCTCAAGCTCTTGTACGGTTGCAACACTGAGCTTATCTTCCCTTACAAGCTTGCTCCTTCTGTGTTGGTGGATGTGCCACCATCCACTCACTTGTCTAAGAAATTCAGAAACCTTGAGAGACAGCTTCTTTCCACATCATCCCTCTCAGCCACATTGATTACGTCTGCTTGATTCTACTTTCTGTGTTTGTCAGCCACTCTCCCCTTTGCTATTTGGTTCTGGCTCCCAGAATCTGACTGATCTACTGCATCAGCCTCCTAAATTGTATTCATGCTTCTGTCCTTGTGTAATCGAACCAACCTTGAGTTTGCTCCTTGGTGAGTCAGAAATTGCACCAGACTGAGTTGTGGCACAGAGAAACTTCATTTGCAGCAAATAAGGAGATCATGGGTAATAACTTCCAAAGCCGTGACTTCCTAGCAGGGGTGAATGGGTTCCTTTTATTTAGGGGTAGGATGAATATTTAGATAGAGAAGCCTTGTTATCATATGTAGAGGCAGGCATAGGATCCTGCATGTATCTTAAGAAAAGATGCCTATACATGACGTATGTTATGTAAACGAGGCTCAGGCTCCTCCTTGGCTGGAGATTTTAGTATTATAATGAGGTAAAAGTAGTCATCAATCATTCCACAGGCCACTCCGTGGTCCAACTGTGCAAGCGTGAGTCTGGGGTTAAGTTCAAACCAGTGTGGGTTGTCTGGGTTGGCAGAGGCAAGTCGTTATTGCTCCAGGGAGATTTCACTATCATTTGCCTGAGTTAAGGTATATGCAGGAAAAAAGAGCTTAAGGAAAAATGTGGGACAAAGGTCAGTGAGTACAAGCAGGTGGGCAGTACAGTCAGATCTTGGGGTCTAGCTGGTGATATTTGTATTATTCCAAAGAAGCTTCTACCTGCTGCCGGTCTTGCCCCTCCCCTCCCATGAAAGGAGATGCTGGCATTTCTCAGCTTGGCTCCTCATGAATTTTCTTTACTCAGAGACTACAACTTGCAGAAAGAAGTCCAAACTCTTCAGTTTGGTATTTGTGGCTCTCTTTGATATGCCCACTAGATATTTAACGAATTTTGTCTCTCACTGTCACTGTACGGGAAAAATTGAGCTTCGGTGGAAAATTATGTGAAGGAGTCACCCTTCTGCATTATCTGATTCTGATTCTATGGGAGCTATCTTACAGCTCTAAGTTTTAAATAAGTAGTAGCAATACATAAGAATGGTCTGTAGACATGCAAATTCTGTCAGTTGACTTCTCCTCTCACTAGTGGAAGAACCAAGTTTTGCCTCAATTTGCACATTCTCTTTAAAATTCCTGAGCTATAAATGTGTCTGTTCTTCAGACTTGTCTTTTCAACTGGTAATTATAAAATCTGCCTGATGATAGAAAGTCATTAACACACTTTCATTTTAACATCTCTATGAAAATCATGACTTTATCTTTTGGGGGAGAAAACTATCTTCTAACAATACACATCTCCTGCACTTTGTATACTGTGTCAGGCCTGTGCCTCTCTACATGCTAGTCCTGGAAATTGTTTTTTGCTTTTCTGCCTGGTGAACTACATGTTCCCCTTCAAGATACAGTGTGAGAATCACCTCTCAAGGAAGCTTCCCTGCTATCTTTCTCCCTACACTTGTTTGTGTGTGTGTGTGTGTGTGTGTGTGTGTGTGTGTGTGTGTGTGTTGGGAGCAAGGAGTGTCAGGTATTCCTGCCTGCCTGCTAACACATTACCTTCAGCTCTTTTCTTGTGGATCTCTTTCAAGGCAGATACCTTCTGTTAGTCTTTGCATTTTGTATGTTTTAAGAAAAACTTGGTGATTTTTTAACACAATGGGTGTGGACATTAAAAGATGGTATGATGCACAGAGTAGTGTTATAGTTTGGATAAGTAGTTTAAAAGAAGTATTCTTAGGATCTTCTATAAACTAGAACTTAGGTAAGGGAGGTGTAGAGGATCTAGAAACTTCTCTTGTTTCTTTCTGCTTGTGAAAAACTCCAGTAAAGGGAAACCAGTTTAAGAATTACAGAATAGTGGGCGCCTGGGTGGCTCAGTGGTTAAAGCCTCTGCCTTCGGCTCAGGTCATGATCTCAGGGTCCTGGGATCGAGTCCCGCATCGGGCTCTCTGCTCAGCAGGGACCCTGCCTCCTCCTCCTGTTTCTCTCTGCCTGCCTCTCTGCCTACTTGTGATCTGTCGGTCAAATAAAAAAAAAAAAAAATCATTAAAAAAAAAAAAAAGAATTACAGAATAGAAAAAGCTATTTTAGGGGTTTCAGGCTACATGTTCATTCACAAAGAGGTACTTTGTGCCTCAGTTTTCTCATCTGAAAATGAAATAATAATAGTGTCTCTGAAAGGAATATGTCACCCCAAAGTATTTTGACATAAACATTGCTTTGAGCTGACAACAATTAGGAAGCAACAAATACAGGAAAAACTCTCTCTACTTCCCCACCCTTTCTGCTTAAAGGCAGGATATAAATTCTGCTTTATTGGAGATGACTCTAGACTTCTATCATCAGCACTACAGCAATCTGCAAATTAACCTTACTCCATTAAATTCTTCCTATATATTGATCTTCCTGCAGTTTGTCACTCTAGGAAGCCTAAAATAGTTTTCCTTTGTGGTACCACTTCTAAACAAATTTAGTGTTCACTGTTGAAGATGATAGCACTTTATAGGCCAGAGTTCTAAGCCACCACTTGGTGTTAACTCTTTGTTGAGGTTTCTCCTGAATGATGTACCCTGTATGCATTAAACTGTTTTTCTCTTGTTAACCTGTCTTTTTGTTAAAGAACACTTCAACAAAGGGCTTTAACAAATGGAGAACTTAAGATGGGTAGAGTTTGTGTGCAAATATTTGTAAGGCACTTAGAACAATGCCTAGCAGATTGTAAACATTAAGTAGATATGTTAAATAAAAACCTCAACATATCAAAAGACTCTATATAATTTTGACATTTACTATTTATAAGATAAACATTGTTACTAAGATCTTAGTAAAATAAAAGATAAAAATTCAAGAGTCTAGCCTCTTTGGTCTGAATAAAAACAGATGAGATAAATATAGCTATAGACCCAGGAATTTAAAAACTTTTATGACCCATAACTGTTTAGCAATGCATAAAAGAGGAATGGGAAGAGTTTAGTAGCATAGGAAATTGAAAAATGAAGCACACTGAGTGTATTCAATAAGAAAATTCTCATCTTTATTACAGATTTCAAGTTCTTCACCAAACTGCTTTCATGGAAAATCTGAGGAAATTAGGTGTGTTCATACAAGTTTTTATGGATCTTCTGCTCTCTTCTGTGACATAATTATCATAATCCTTCTAGTGGGCTTGGTAATTTCTGGAAAGGGCAGGCAGAGCTGTTTACCAAAAAATACTCAATCTTCCTAGTAGTGGATCTCATACACTTCAGAGTTCAGAAGATGGAGCAGAATATTTACCCATATCTATCGGGTTGCATCTCAATCCACAAAGAGTTGGCCCTCTGCGAGAGTCGGGGGGGTCCCTTCTCTTCTATTCCCTTCCCTTTTCTATTAACCCTTTCCCTTTGCCCCTGGATTCTCACTGACACTACTGTTCAGCCCTCAAAGTCAATTTCAGCATCACTGCTTCTCGAATGTCCTTTGCATCTCTAACCTGAAAAGATGACAGCACAGCCACATTCTCTATATTCCACAACTACAGCTGTAGATTATTAATGCATAGGACTGGCTACATAATTCATGGGGCCTGTGCAACCATACAGATCATGTGCCCATGAAGCCAGTCCTACAGATCCATGGTCTACTTCTACAAACATCCAGAAGGCTACCAAACCTCTCTATTGTTAGTATCTATCAGCTTTGACAGTATTATTCTGTATCATGCCTGTCCAGTTTGCACTCAGAGCAATCCCATACCCTTCCACTGCCTGCTCTGAATCACAGGGGCCAGCCTCTGCAGTCTGTGTTTTCCATTCCCCTGGGTCAGCTGGCTTTGGGTGAGATTTGGCCAATGGAGGACACTGTGGTAGGAGAATGGAGAAGGGATACTTTTTTCTTCCTTAGGCTGCCTATCAGACACACCAGATGTGTCTCCGTTGAGACTCCAACTCTTGCTGGTAAGGCTCACTGTGATGCAGCTTCCATCAGGTACCTTGAGATCTCTTTGCTTCAAGAAGAGGCAGTGTCTTTCTATTGTTATGAACCTCTGGAACCTTCTGGAAACCATGAAACCCTGTTCATTTTCTCTGCTCATTCAGCCCAACTCCTGCATTACATTCCTTTGTTTAAAATACTTAATTTCTTTTTCTTGTAAGAATCCCCCCTCCCCAAATCCCCGGTAACTAAGGATTATGGTGGAAGGAGCAAAGGGGATGAAAGGAAAGACTTCTGTTCTGACACAAGTGTCCTGACAAGTGTCAGGAAATGTTCTTTCACAATCTTAAAATGAATGTCTAAATAATGTGATATTCTCCCAAGAAATGGTCATTTTTCTTTCTCTTAAGTATTTCCAATACTTTCTTCAGGGTTAGCTTCTTATTGAGTTTTA